CAGAAGCATTCACACTGTGAATAAACATGCATTGAATGTGATTATTGGTATTTAATGTCTACATTTATGCACATACACATAGGGGAAGTTTCACAGACAGAGCTTAAGCCTAGTCCTAGACTAAAATGGCCCTTGAAACCAGATGAACAGAAATCTGCTTTCTCTGTCATGGTTCTAAATAGTCTTAGACTCAGTCTAGTCCAGAATTTAATAAACTGAATTCATGGAGGAAGACTAGAGCTACTTCAGGACTAAATTAAGGCTTAAATTAAACCTACCAGGAGGCAGGTTTAACTTCAGATCAACATTGTGTTTCCAGTCTTTATATATCAAAATTATTGGCACCCTTGAACAAAGAAGCCTGTGAGAATGCATCTGCACTGTTAATCATTTTGATCTTTTATAAAAATAAAAGAAAACGCGTTAAAGTAAAATGGAAGGGAAATCTCATTATTAAAAAAAAGTTTTTCTCTAGTACACACTGGCTACAATTAATGGCACCCTTTTATTCAATGCTTTTTGCAACCTCATTTACAGCTCTTAGGAGTTTCCTCCTATTATTGGCTGAAGAGTTTGGAGAGCCTTCCTTCCTATAAATCACTCCAGATCCTTCAGATTCATGATAAATTCTCTCCTCTTCAGTTTTCTGTAGGGTTCAGGTCAGGAACTGGGGCGGCCATGACAGAACCTTCGTTTTGTGCTCAGTGACCCATTTTTGTGGTCCTTTTGGATCATTGTTCTGTTTGAAGATCCATCCACGGCCCATTATAAACTTTCTGAGCCCAAGACTCAACTATGTTCTGCAATTCTCCAGCTGTGATCCTTGGAGAGTCTTTGGTCACTCAAACTATCTTCCTCATGTTTCATTAAGACAATAGACACAGACAATATACTGATGGCAGATTTGTAACATTTCCTGTTGATTGGAACTCCTTAATTATTGTCCTAATGGTCAATGCTTTAGCTCTTTTTTTTTGGACTTTCTATTTGGGTGTCAGTCGCAAAAATTGTGATACTCTCCAAAATGGTGCCAGGGTGACGCAGAGACTTGAATAAAGTTGTTATTTTTGTTTTCTTTGCACACAAAAAGTATTCTCGTAGCTTCATAAAATTATGGTTGAACCCCTGATGTCACATGGACTGTTTTAACGATATCCATACTGCGTTTCTGGACCTTGATTGTGGTAATTACTTTGCTGTCTTTGGAGGATCAGAGAGCTCTCAGATTTCATCAAAAATATCTTAATTTGTGTTCCGAAGATGAATGAAAGTTTTATGGATTTGGATTTTGAGTAATTAATGACAAAATTTTCATTTTTGGGTGAACTATTCCTTTAAGCATAATGTTATGACAATGAAATGTAGCGTAACTCTAGGCATATTTAATATAACACTATAAACTGTATTGTTATTGAAGATTATAATAACACACACACACACACACACACACACACACACACACACGTAGCTTGTACATAAAAACAAAGAAAAACACTTCTGGCTGGAAAACGTGGGCGGAGACTATATCTGGGCAAATGTTACAGTGAAAGTAAAACTAAACAGCAGCGCATTGTTCATTTTAAACTAATTTTAAATTCTGCATTAAATTTGCACATGCAAAATGAGTTACTACATTTTTATTAAAGAGCTGGACGGAACAACAAGAGCAGTAAGTGTAGATTCAGAGGAGGAACTGAAGAACATGACTGTTGAAGAGTTCAGAAGAAGATTCTGTCCTGAAGACAAATGTGAGTCAAACACTTAAGTGTTCAGTTTCTACGGTTAATTTGTCACGTATTGTATAATTCATTTAAAAACAGGCACTGAACATTTACATTTAGTCATTTAGCAGACGCTTTTATCCAAAGCGACTTAGAGATGAGGACAATAGAAGCAATCAAAACCAACAAAAGAGCAACAATATAGCCTATAGCGTTGTGACAAGTCCCGTTTTTTTTAATAAAATAAAAAGTATAGATAGAATAGAAGTATAGATAGAGCTAGTGTTAGAGGATCAAGTTATTATTTTTGTACAATAAATATAAAGAAAACGAGTAGAAAAAGAATAGAGAACGCTAGTGTTAGAGGGTAATTTTTTAAGTAAAAAGAAAACAAGATAGAATAGAAATAGAATATAGAGTTCTAGTGTTAGGCTACATTTACACTAGTGCATTTTCGTTTTAAATGCATGAGTTTTGCTACGCCTGTCGTTTACACTACTCCGAAAACTCCGGGGTGCATTTCAGTGTAAACAGACCGAAACTGAAACTTTCGTAAAGGATGTGGCTGTCCACATTCGCTCTGCTTTTCCTTGACGACCGAGTTAACAATAGCATCATGCAGAGTTGCTGACTCTCACGCATTTGACGTGAGACACACGCTTTCAGGCTCTGTCTCGTGTAAATCTCACGCCATGCTTGTGTTATGACAAACACTAAGTTAAGTCGTATAAATATATTTTTATGAATTTATATCGTCTGCAGAAAGCGTAGGACCATAAAATGTTCGTCCAATCAAACTGTTCGGTCCGAACATTAGGATAGGCTGTCCAGCCTGCTTGTCAAATATGTATTTGCATACCTCTGCGCACCCTGTTTGAGCAGACATGACGTCATCAGCGCGTTCCAGCTAGAATGAAACGCATATTATGCGCTTTGTACTGTAATGTTTTCTCACTGGTGAATGAGGCATGAGGTAATCTGACAGTGTTGCATTCATTCCTCCAACAGTGTGGTCTCTCATCGTATCACAGGTTAGTTTCAGGTCTGCCGGAGAGCGTTTGTGTGTTTTGAGGGAGGCGTGGCTTTGCAGAGGGATTATGCAGAGAGGGTGGAAAGAATAAAATGTAGCATCCCATTGGTTGACAATCATATAAACATTCATCGCGCTAGATAGAATCAGTTTGCTGACAATTCCGGAATTTCGGTCAAATACATGCTTATTTCACTGTTTATAAAACATACAATATGCTTCAAATGATCGTTCATATACAGTATGTGACCCTGGACCACAAAACCAGTCATTGTGAAATTGAGATTTATACATCTTCTGAAAGCTCTCCATTGATGTATGGTTTGTTATGATAGGACAATATTTGAAAATCTGGAATCTGAGGGTGCAAAAAAATCTAAATATTGAGAAAATCGTCTTTAAAGTTGTCCAAATGAAGTTCTTAGCAATGCATATTACTAATCAAAAATTAAGTTTTGATATATTTACGGTAGGACATTTACAAAATGTCTTCATGGAACATGATCTTTACTTAATATCCTAATGATTTTTGGCATAAAAGAAAAATCAATAATTTTGACCCATACAATGTATTTTTGGCTATTGCTACAAATATACCCCAGCGACTTAAGACTGCTTTTGTGCTCCAGGGTCACAAATGTGAATTTTAAAAAGTGAATATGTTACTTCCTTTTTTAATTTTTAATGATACTTGTATAAGTACACACAAGTGAATATTATCGAATGCAAGCAAATACTGAATTTAACCCAAGAAAAGTTTAGAATTCTGCTAAAAAGGGCATTTAACTGCATTCAACAAATATTTTTACCCCCTTATATGTACACTATATACATATGAATTGATATTGAATCGAGATCAAAATCCCCCCCAGCGCCCCAAAAAAAATCTCACTGCAAGCTGGACTTAAAAGTTGGCAACCCTACATCGTGCTCATTATAAATGGTCATGAGACATGCGTGTCTGGTTGAGTATGGACGGCGATCGTCTCTGAAACGCAGTGAAACCGCCAGTGTAGACGAGGATCGTTTTCATTTCAAAAACGCACTAGTAGAGGGTCAAATGAAGATGGAAGAGATGTGTTTTTAGCCGCTTCTTGAAGATGATTAAGGACTCTGCTGCTCAGATTGAGTTGAGCAGGTTATTCCACCAGCAGGAACAAATAAAAGTTTGCAAATAACATCTGTTGGATTTACCCTTACAAAAATTAACTGTTATTTTACTACAGTGACCATATTTTAACCATTATATTTGTAGTAAAATTATGCTAATCACAGAAAACCCTCTTGATACATCTTCACCTCTTAATGAGGTTGATACATTAATGTTTGCTGTTTCTTATGCAGCTGCTGTTGTTGTTTTTCATAGTGGACCTCAGATTTATCTTCGAGGGCAGACAACTGAAGGAGGGTCGTACACTTGGCTCTTATGGCATACTAAACGAATCTACTATTCATGCAGTTCTTCGTCTACGTGGTGGAGGTATGTAAAAGAGTGTTTAAAATGATTTAAAGTCTCAGATAATCATATTAAAACTGACCCTTCATGTTGTCACACAAAACAAATGCATGTTTTCTCTACAGTAGTGCTTTTATATTCAGGACACTTCGATAAATTCTGCTCTTGAACTAATATATATATATATATACATACAGTTTAAAATGACAGCTTTCTATTTTATATACTTTTAAAAGTAAATTATTTCTGTAATGCAAAGCTGAATTTTCATCAGCCGTTACTCCAGTCACACAACCAATTTAAAGGGGTCATGAACTGCCTTTGTTTTTTTTATTTTGTACTGTTCTCTGAAGTCCACTTATAATGTTATCAAGATTTTTACATTAAAAAACGTAAGCTATTTCTGTCCTGTTTTAACCCCCTCATCAGAACGCTCTGTTTGAACAGTCGTGAAGGATTGTAGACTCAGAAGTAAACGCCCACTGCTGTGATTGGCTAATAGTTGTGTTTGATTGACAGCCTACATTCCTCACAGATGGACGCTGCTGTGATTTAGTCTAAAAACACATAAATACTCAGCACATGTGAAATTATCTGTAATAACAGACAAAGCAATAGTGATCACGTAATAAAAATAGTTACTCACACTTGTGTGTTGCGACATTACTGTCGGTAAAAACACTATGTGCGAGAATAGGTGGGTGGGGCTAAACAGGCAGTGATGTAGAATAGGTGGGCGGGGCTAAACAGGCAGTGTATTTAATTTTGTGTAATATTATAATCTATATTGAATCTTTTTATAGTTTAATGGAAGAAAACCCAAAAAATTATGAACCTAAGTTGAAAAAAAAAAAAAATCAAAATGGCAAGCGGCTGTAAATATGTAAGACAGTATAAGCACACCCCTCTGACTGTTGATTTCTTTATAAATACGCCAAATTGCTCTTTTGCTTGAAAGGCACAAACAACCTACAGCTACACCATGGTTACAAAACCTAAATCACTCTCTACTGGATGAAACATTAAAATAAACGTCATTCCGCCCAGCCCTCCATCCGGCTTGTCGTGTGAATGGGTTTGACGGCTGTTTTGGGTGGTTACTGACAGATGCCTCTCATTTCAGGAAGCATCTATTCTAGTCCTGGACTTTACAGCAAGACCATGACACCTACCTATGACTCTCGGGACGGCAGCCCTCTGTCCCCCACCACAGCGTGGTTTGGAGACAGTCCGCTGTCAGAAGGCAATCCCAGCATCCTCGCTGTCAGCCAGCCCATCTCCTCACCCGACATTCTGGTCAAGATGTACAAACCACAGTCCCTCCTGGACAAGGCCAAGATCAACCAGGGGTAAGCTGGGACAGATCTGGTGTGTGAAGACTCAGTGATTCAGGAAGGTTTGCACTCATATTCCTCTGAATGTCTTTGTGAAGGTGGCTGGACTCCTCCAGATCACTGATGGAGCAGGATGTGAAGGAGAACGAGGTCCTTCTGCTCCGGTTCAAGTACCACAGCTTCTTTGACCTCAACCCAAAGGTCAGTGTGTTTTGCACCTTATCACATATAATCATATGCACACAATGCTGAATAGGACATTACAGAATCACACACAAGCTCTTAAAGGGGTCATGAACTGCCTTTTTTTATTTTGCACTGTTCTTTGATTTTTACATCAAAAAGCATCATAATTTAGAAGTAATAGGCTATTTTCTGTCCTGCTTTGACCCCCTCATAGAAACGCTCTGTTTGAATCAGTGTGGCGGATTGTAGACTCAGAAGTAAACGCCCACTGCTGTGATTGGCTAATAGTTGTGTTTGATTGACAGCCTACATTCCTCACAGATGGACGCTGCTGTGATTTAGTCTAAAAACACATAAATACTCAGCACATGTGAAATTATCTGTAATAACAGACAAAGCAATAGTGATCACGTAATAAAAATAGTTACTCACACTTGTGTGTTGCGACATTACTGTCGGTAAAAACACTATGTGCGAGAATAGGTGGGTGGGGCTAAACAGGCAGTGATGTAGAATAGGTGGGCGGGGCTAAACAGGCAGTGATGTAGAATAGGTGGGCGGGGCGTTAGAATAGGTGGGCGGGGCTAAACAGGCAGTGCTGTAGAATCGGTGTGCGGGGCTAAACAGACAGCGATGTAGAATAGGTGGGCGGGGTTAAACAGGCAGTGATGTAGAATAGGTGGGCGGGGCTAAACAGACAGCGATGTAGAATAGGTGGGCGGGGCTAAACAGTCAGTGATGTAGAATCGGTGGGCGGGGCTAAACAGTCAGTGATGTAGAATCGAGGGGGCGGGGCTAAACGGCAGTGATAGAAGCAGGCGCTGATCTTCTTCTGCGGAGGCGGAGCTTATCCACACTATTACATCATAGAGTTGAACATTCCACAAGCTGTTGTTTTGGCAGTTTTTAGACTAACAAGAAAGTTTTGAGTTCTGAAACGTACAGGTTTTTTATAGTACAATGACTTCTTATATGACAAAAGATCAAGGGAATTTTGGTTTGTCAGTTCATGACCCCTTTAATGCTAATGTATTATCAGTGTTGGAAAAAGTTGTGCTGCTTAATATTTTTTTATAACCTGTGATATTTTTTATAACCCTTTTTTCAGGATTCTTTGATGATTGCAGTTTAAAAGAACAGCATTTATTTAAAATAGAAAAATAGAACTTTAGACTTTTTAAAACAGAAAATTCGGCTTTGCATCACAGAATAAATCTGTTACACAATAAAAGCACACAGGCACACCATAGTTCAGCTATCAGAATTTTAACTAGGATTTTAACCACCCAGCTAACAGAGAACATTCTGGCAAGGTTCTCTCAAAGTCATAAACAAACATTCTTCTAGTAACGTTAATAGAATGTTTGTTCAGAGTAATCTACTCTAATAATATTCTGACAGCATTAGCACAACAACATTGTGTAGATAGTTCATGGAGTCTTAAACTCTTAAACATTTTAGTTTGATGTTTGTTTATAGTTTTTAAAATGTTTCTAATTATCGTTTCAAAACATTCAACATTCAAAGTAACATTCCCCTAATGTTTGTAAAATGATTATATGGAAAATTCCCTAATCATTCAAATTTTTTAAATGTAAAAAAAAAACTGGAGATTTTGAAAGATCTAACATTCATTTGATATGTTTTCATAACTTGATGGAATTTTAGCAAAACATTCCTAGAACATATTTTTGTTAGCTGGGTAGGACGAACCATTTTTTAGGGCAACTTCTCAAAATCAGGCCATGTTATCAAATGAAAAATCAATTAATAAAAACTTGCTGCCTACTACCTACATAGGGAGCTACCTTCAAAGAGAGCATCTAAACTGATGGAGAATATCATACAAGTGGCCAGTTTTTTTTTGGAACATGTTGGGAATATGCTTATGATGCCTGAAATGTTCCCTGATGGTAAGTTTCTCGTTATTGCTTATCATTCATGATTTGCTTCATCTGCACTGTGCAGAACGTGGACTCACTCGTCTGTGATCTGATGTCATCTCTCTGTTTTTTCATCCTCTCCATTCGTTCGTTTGCTCTCTCTTCCTCTGCTCTTCTTCTCTCTTTCATCTCCTGTAAAATCTTTCTGTCCATTTCAAAACGGGAGCCTCTGTTTTGTGCCACTGTCTCCTCAATCTTCTCCAGCAGCTCCTTGACCTGAGTGTCGTCACTCCAGTCCTTAAAGTTGAGAACATGATACCTGTTCCCACATTTGTCCAGCAGCCACTGGAGATCCTGTCCTTCGCTCTCAATGTGCTGCTCTATAGACGTGTCTAACAGATAGTCTCCATGAATGAACAGCACTATAGTGTGACTCCAGACTCCCTCACCGAGAAGCTCCAGATGACCCTACACTGTTTTCCTCTGAGCGCCTGTGAATCGCATGTCCACGCGTATGAGCAGTAGTACAGCGTGTGGTCCTGGAGGACACAGAGACACACTGAGCACAATCTCCTGTTTCAGTAACTCAGGACTGGTGTCTACTGTGTAATCCCTCCACCATCCTGGAACTTCAATGACCGTGAGGTGTCTGTCTGCTACTTCTCCGTGTCTCCTCACACACTGAGCACATCTCTTCACGTCAAACTCCTCGCTGCCCAGGATGATGTTTCCTGCAAAACTCTTGCCTGTATTTCTAGCAGCCATTAACAGAATCCTCACCTCTGAGAGATAGAGCATGTCACCTGCAGCACATAGACAGAAAAACACACTTATTAAGGTGACTGACGTCTGAAGTCTTAAAGGGGTCATATGATGGGATTTCAATTGTTCCTTTCTCTTTGGAGTGTTACAAGCTCTTGGTGCATAAAGAAGATCTGTAAAGTTGCAAAGACTAAAGTCTCAAATCCAAAGAGATATTCTTTATAAAAGTTAAGAGTCAGCCACGCCTACCTAAAACTGCTCGTTCTAACACGCCCCCACATATCTACATCACTATGTGGGAAGATTTGCATAACGCCGCCCAAATGTTCACGCAAAGAAAGAAGGCGTAACTTTTATTCTCGCTGTAATTTTGTTGTTTCCGCTGCCATGTCGTGAAGACGCTGTGTGCTTCGTTGTGAAAGCAAAACT